GTGAAAACAAATATATCATATATGAACTGATAATTTCCAAATTGCATTCTTTGAGGCTGAGAAATTAGGTTCTAAAATGGTGGCTATCAGGGAATGGGCAGGAGGTTGAGAGAAATAGTTAAGAAAGGATACCAAAGCTGAAGAATAGAGGAGAAAAATTCAGGGGTATTTTGAACAACCTAAAATGATGGCTCTTAGTGCTAAGGGGATATATTTTTTAAAGTGACTGGTAGTGGATTTTAGGTGTTCTGTACATAAATTATGACAAGTATGAGATGTAATGCATATGGTAATAAGCTGAGTTTAGCTATTACACAGGATGTACATATTATAAAGAGTTATATTGTGTATAATGTGTCTTAATTTTCAAAATAAGTATTTTTAGTTAAAGTTTAGTATTCCCCAGTTTCATATACAATACAGCACAGCTTTGTGATGATGAACATCTTATCTCACCTTTCTCGGTAGAGAATTTGCTTTAGTCTCCAAAGAGAGAACAGATGGGGAGAAAGGCTAGAAGGAATGCCCACAGGCTACTATCCTCACACAATACCCTACAGAGACAGAAAAGACAGTGAGCTGGTGATACAACCAATCACAGCCTTGATCAGTGTGTAAGCTATGCAATTGATAGATTGCAGACGTTGAAAACACTATTTGTTTCAGAGAAAAGTTATTCTCACAACAAACAAGGGGCCATTTCCTACCTGAACTGCACCATAGTTCAATTAAAATGAAAGACGGTACTTCAAAGAGTTAGAAAAAAATGGCTGGACTTGTTACTTGAACTATGTAAACAGAACAACAACAAAAAATGTATTTCAGAAGACTACTCAGAAGAGAGGATTCTTGAAGTGATCTGTTCAAACACATAAAAGGTAAGCAGTATTTATGTCAATTGTATATTTTACTGTAGTGAAAATTTTAAGTTTGTGAATCTATCAAATAAAGTATGTCTTTATTCAAAGCAGATATATTTAATAGATAAATACTCTGACTTATGCAGACTGTAATAAAAAATACACAGACTGTAATATAATTGCATCTCATTTTGTAATGTTACTTGCAATTTACATTGGGCACGAAAATATTTTGCAGCTGAAAATAATTTGTTGTTTCCTGGTTTACTAATATTAATAAGAATATAGAATCTAAATGATATTTCCTGTTTGTGCTTCTAGAAAGTCTGTTGAGCTTTCACTGAGAATGTGACTCTGTAATTACAAGGGTGAGTTGGAATTCAGCTGGAATCTTTAAACTGGGTGATTTATAACCCGTTTGTGTCTTTAACTTCTCATGTAAAGTATGGCTATGATATTGCAAGCTACTCCTTTAGGAATGCATTAAATGAAATAGAAGAAGAATGTCAGCAACTTGATATCTAGTATAAAAATTTCAATAGAAGAAAAAATATTCAACCAATCAGAGATTTTTTCCATATTTTTATGACTTCCTATAAAACAGTAAAAGATATGTCAAAAAAGTGAGGGATAATGCATTCTTGATGGAGGGAAAAATTTTCAGTAAGGTTAATGGAGAAACCAATGTTCTGAAGGTGAATATGCCCAAATCATTGATTTGATCCTGAAAAAACAGAAAACATTCAAAAAAGGAAGTGACCAAGGAAGGATAATTGTGAGATTACTTTCTTACATTGAGTGATTTGAGTTATAATTTTGAATTTCATTCTGTTAGTACTTCCATAGCAAAGTCTGTTTGTTATGAGCTGAAAAATAAATTACATAAATTGGCACAAAGTATAAAACAGAACCCAATAATTAAGAGTGACTTCATATGATGTGTTTTGGAGCATGCCTTTGATCCCAGCACCCAGGAGGTAGGGGTGAGACCTAGGCCAGGTCTACAGACTGAGTTCTAAGTAAGCTGGGGGTACAAGGGAGACCTTGTCTCAAAAAAAAGTGACTTTTCATTAGAGTGAATGATGGTTTTCATCCATCAGCATAGTATAATTTACTGATTTTTAGCTAAATATTACTGCTAAAACACTGTGATAATGAAATGCTCTCACTCAGAGACAAGAATTTTAACTCTATAGGCCAAAAAATGAGACATTTTAGGGGTGCAAGTTAATAGTGTGTGCTAAAACTATAATGATAAATACAGTAACTGCAAGGATAGAATAAAGCCAGTATTTAATGGGAAGACTACTGTTATTTTCTGGGTAAGGCAGTTTAGAGTTATGACTCCATGTGCTCAAAACAATCCCATGAACTACATATTTTACTAGGAAGCAAAAGTGAACATATTTCAGGAAGAATAAACCTCAATATACTTGTTTTCCATTTTAAGTCAGTCAGTGTCCATTCATTATATCAGTGAGTACTTGAATCTGATTAAATTGAATGTGATTGCTAGGACAGTGGAGAGTTTTCATTTCTACCATCATTTTTGAGAAGTATTTATAAACTACTCCCTTGTGTTCACTTCTAGGTATACGCTGGAACGCAAAGTCAGATCAGAATATTACGACAGTTTTTTTTCTCCTACAACAAAATATTATTACCTTTTCCTAAAGGTAAAAGTGACAAAATGATCCTGTAATATTCTAAGATCTGATCAAGTCTCACAGTAGCTGTTATGTTTTTAATAATGTTCCATTGCATCAATAACTTGAATAAGCAGTAGTGATTATAGATTCAGTCATGTCTAAGGTAATGACCTGTAATGTGTTTGGATTTAACACTATTTTCTACACAGTGTACGTACTGAAAATGATCTTGTGCATGTTACTTTCTCTTTATTATTAACAAACCACATCATAAAAGAAGGTAGATATTGCATTACTCTCAAATATTCAATCAAATATATCAGGATTATGGAAAATTCAATTTTCTCATTCAAGCAGCTTTTCCACAAGTATATGATGATGTGCATTGCATATGTACATGAATGGGTACCAAATTGTGCAAAAATATGAAGGCTTTTGAGAAGATATAGAATGAAAATATAATTAGAAAATGAGAAAGATACAGAAATCCTAAGAGACCAGGAAAAAAGCAAGAGATGTTAAAGAAAATAACTGAGAACATGTACTTAGACTTATTTTACATAACAATATTTTAATGAAAAACTTCCAAGTCTTTGATGTTTCTTCTTGGTTTCTTCTTGGCTGTGAATGAGGAAACTGTGTAAATGTTAAGATCACATTGAATGTAAACATCTGAATTACTAGTCAATGGAGGTTAAGACATTTTTGGGTTAGTGAAATTAAGCAATCAGAGTTGAAATTAGATATTCTGTTAGTTGTCTGGGATTTGGGATGAGAAGGACTTGTGATCTTAACAGAAGAGAGCAACTGTGTTATTTGTAGGCAGTGAGCATGAATTTGGAGTTTGACAAATTGGAGAGGGGGAGGACAAAACTCAAGATAATGTGAAGTTTTCAGAATATACACCTGTGAAATATGTCAAAGTTCAATATAAAGGAATGAAAAATATGCTACAAAGAATATATAGAAAACCGAAGTGCAGAGCCTGGCAGCACACACCTTTAATTCCAGCATTTGGGAGGCAAAGGAAGGTATAGCTCTGTGAGATCAAGGCTAGTCTGGTTTATGCAGAGTTCCAGGTCAGTTGGGCCTACAAGGGAGAGCTTGTCTCAAAACAGAAACAAACAAACAAAACAAGCAAAACCAAGAACCAAAAAACCCAAGAAAACAACTATGACAGCTAGAATCTAGTACAGAGGATGGACACCGAACATCTTTGGTTTATTAAAGAAATGCTCGAAGGCTTAATCATCATGGGATTTAGCAGGGTGTTTTCTGATGGTGAGTCAGAGACAGCAACTTAGGATTCAAACGTATATTCCATTATATATGTATATGTATTTGTATGTGTATATATATGAATTTCTCAATTTTGAGTGCTATATTTATGTATATTGAGTGATATGTATATTGTATTTATGTATATGTAGTAATTCATGTTGAGTGTGAACAATGGATAAGAAGAATGAGAAAATGAACGGCTACATTTCACCTGGTATAGGGAATGATCCCTGTGATCAATTCTGTATATTTTAGTTTCCTTTTCACATTCTGATTCTATAAATCCTCAACTTCAGTAAAAATACCTTCAAGGTCTAAGTTTTAGAATGTAAATATAGTTGTTAAATTTAGCTGAGGTCATTATAAAATTTAGTATATGTTACAGCAACACTTTGATTTTATGTCACATTCACAATATCCAAGCAACATAGGATTAATTGTGTTGTATTTTCTATCATATAATTATACAGCTTATGAAATAAAATATTTTTCTGTGACATAGGCCAGAAAATACTTCTGAGTTTTGGAGTCAACATCTAAGTCTCTTTTTCATATTGGAAGTGGTTTAGTTTCCTGAAACTATGGCCTGGGTAGGGCAGCGCAGTCTTACTGAATGACTACTCTGCTTTATTTGAGAAACATTCTTGAGAAAAACCCTCAATCACAATGTGAAACTTGAAAAAAGCTAATTATGAGCCGGGTATGGCAGTGCATGCCTTTAGTCCCAGCACTTGGAAATCAGAGGAAGGCAGATCACTGGGAGACTGAGGCCAATAAAAATTGCAAGTAACTTAAAACAGCCCATAGAGTAGGAAGAAGACACATTTTTCTTTACATAATGTCACACTTTTTTTGGAGGCAGCTCATTGTCAAAGAAAAAATAGCTTGGCCCCTGTCTCCTCTCTCTCTCCTCTCTCTCTCTCTCTCTCTCTCTCTCTCTCTCTCTCTCTCTCTCTTCTTTCTTTTGCTTGAGACATGCCAATATTCATTATTGATAACAGAAAGAATCGATTTTAAGATTATTCCCTTTTTATGCCCTGTAGGTTTAGGGGACTGGATTTGAAACATACCAGTAAAAGTATACAAGAAGCAAAACAAGTCAACTGGAAAAATCTCCTCTGTCTGTAGGTTTAACATCATGCTGTCTCATTTTCCAGTTGAACCTGATGCAATGAATTAACTTCACAACTCTGAAATCACTTATTCATTAATGGAATCTGCACTTCAAAGTCCCCCACAAAGGAATGAGTCCACCTTGGTGAAATTCATCTTAATTGGTTTTTCTGATGTTCCAATCCTGAAAGATTTTCTTTTGGGGGTATTTTTGATAATCTATGTAATTATCCTGATGGGCAATAGCCTCATTATCATAATAACAAAGGTTGACCCTTCCCTACAGACTCCTATGTATTTTTTCCTGGGAAACTTTGCTTTCTTGGAAATATGTTATGTGTCAGTCACTGTCCCCAGGTTATTAACAGATCTCTACAGACAAGATAGAAGTATTTCTTTTGTAGCCTGTGCTACTCAAATGTATTTCTTCCTGGTCTTCGGAGCCACTGAGTGCTTTATTCTGACTGCCATGGCTTATGACAGGTACGTTGCCATTTGTAACCCACTGCTCTACCCACTTGTCATGAACAGTGATCTGTGTATTCAGTTGGTGGTTGGTTGTTGGACAAGTGGAGTTCCACTGCACATAGGGTTCACATACTGGATCTTCTCTCTACCTTTTTGTGGAACAAACCAGCTGAATCACTTCTTCTGTGACATACCTCCAGTCCTTACCCTTGCCTGTGGGGACACTTTTATGATCGAGATGCTGATTTACATGATTGCCCTTCTAGTGGTCACTATTCCTTTTATTCTGATTCTTGTCTCTTATGTGAAAATAGTCACAACCATTCTGAAACTCCCATCAGCCACTGGGAGAGCCAAGGCCTTCTCTACCTGTTCCTCCCACCTCATGGTTGTAGCTTTGTTCTTTGGCTCAGGAATCATAACATACTTGAGACCAAAGTCCACCCATTCTGCTGGAACAGACAAATTCCTTTCCCTTTTCTATACCGTAGTGACCCCAACATTTAACCCCATGATATATTGTTTGAGAAACAAAGATGTTATGCTTGCCTTGAAGAAGTTTCTTCTGAGATGGATTGTGTTATGACTCAATGTGATTTTTTGAAGCATGTTTTCTCCTTTGTGAGTTTCCTTGCATTTGTTTTGTTTTCTATTCAGTCTCCTTAGAAATGGAGTTATTTTGAATGTGTAATCTCATATTTCTTTGACATATGAAATTAATTCTGCTATTATTTCCAACTGCAGATTAATTAATTCCAAATACAAATACTTTTCTATAGGCAAATCTAACTGAAGTAATGGTAGATATAACACATATTGTTTATGCTCTTGTTATTTTTAAGATGTAGAAATAATGGCTACATTTTCTATTTCATGAAATTATCTTTAGTCTGTATAACTTTAGTCCAATATACTATTAGAATGAAATAGAGATGAATATCAAAGATTAAACTGTTTAGCCTCCATCTGTTGCAAAAAGAAGCTTCTTTGATGAGTGGTGTACTGTATCCTTGTCTGTAAAGATAAGGATCCATATTTAGGATATGGTAAGAAATTTCATTTGTCTAAAGATATGAAAGAGATATAGTTTCCTCTAGGATCTATGACATTTCCAGCCATGGATATTTGGCTACTGCAGAGTTACATACTGGTCACACACAGAGAATATACTTTGAGAGAGCCCCATCCCTAGGTGATATATCTACACTATATCTACAGTGGAACCTCTACAATTAAGGCTCATGGAACATAGTAGAATGGGGATGGAGAGAACACTAGTGCATCCTCAATTCTCCCTAGCAAAGCTTCCTTATACAACAGAGTGTGATGCACACAGAAGGCCACAACTGATCCAGTTTTAGAGAATGAGACTGACGACTGTGTGTCTTTGGGTAGAACTCTTATATTAGACCTCACCCATCCACAGCTCAGGGACCATCTCAGAAGAAGGGGGAGGAAAGATTGCAAGAGCCAGAGTTAGTACACGATCATAGGGCAGCAGAGATGACTTTGAGAACAAGACCCATGCAAGGGGCATGGGTGGAGTATTGGCCCTAGCCTGAGAACTGTTGGAGTGATTACAGCTAAGTATTGTATGAAATCTATAAAATCTCAATAAAATATTTTTTAAAAATATTCAACAGCTTATTCTTTTGTTTTTGATTTTTAATATGTAAGAATGTATTGTCTGCATGTATGGAAACGCACTCATCTCACGCAATGCCCATGGAGGTCAGAGGGGGACCTCAGACTCCCCTGGAACTGGAGTTACACATGGTTAGCCACTATGTGGGTGTTGGGAATCAAACCCAAGAGTAGTCAGTGCTCCTAACCACTGAGCAATCTCTCTTAATCTTTTTTTATGTTCATTATCAGTGATTGCCTTCCAATCATGTAATTTTATGTAAAAAAGATCAAGTTCGGTGAATATATATGTATATCTATATATACATATATACGATGTTAAAGAAAATTGACTTTCTCTTGAAGAGCCAGTACTTATTTGTGATTGTGAACTGCACTTTTCCTTAATCTCTCTCTCTCTCTCTAATTACCTTGCTCAAATGTACATTGAAACCTTTTCTAAATAAGCTCCACATTCTTTAAAAAAGAAAAAGAAAGAAAATTAGCATTTCTTGGAATTTAATTTTTACTTTGTCATTAAAATTGATCAGAATATTAATATTGAAAAACATTATTTTCAAATGTAATTTCTTGGGCTTATAATTTCTCATCCACCATGAGGAAAACCCACCCACTAAATTAGGATCAGTTTCAGAAAAACTGTGAGCTCCCCTCACTAAGCTATAGTTTTTATTGAGGCATGATGTTTGTATATAATTATCTTAAAGTAATCACATATATTATTACATTGTGCAATAACAAACTTAAGGCAATAATCATTTTCATTTCTTTAAACATTAATCAAATTAATGGGCAGGACATTTTTTAACTTTTCCAGTAATTTTGAAATATATTATATATCGTTTAAATAATTTTAACACATAGCAAGAGAGCAGAGTATAAAAATTATGTCTATTGGTAGCTCAAAAAATGGTGTGATAATCAGAGATTCCTATTATTTCCTCTTATTTAATGAAGAATATTAATCAGTGGACAATCACAGGAGCCTGCGGATATTTGGGGGAATGATCAAGATTCTCTATTAAAGAATGGCTTCATGATGTCTAAACTAACATAGCCAAGTCTGCTCCAAGGAAGCACATCACTTTGTGGGGGAAGGCGACATTGGGAAAGAGTGAAAAATTCCTCACTTTGAAGGAATTCTTAGGAGAGAGGTGACACATGAACTCAACTCTAAGTAGGGTGGGCATGCTCTCTCATTTGTTCCAGTGTATGTATTCATATAGCAGTCAGACTGATGCTCTAAAACCATAGATGTTACTCTTGTGTTCCAAGTTCCTACTGCTTTTCATGCTTCTTAGGGTAAAGTAACAAATCTTTAATATGGTCTATAATGCTTTAGATCACCTGGCTCCCACGTCACTCTTCCGTCTTCTCTTCGAGCCCCTAACTCCACTGTTCATAAAGCTCTCTTTTCTGTTTATTTTGCTAACTTTGAGAACAGAGTTTTTCTTATGTCCCACTATTTGCTGACAATCATTGATTTCTTCCTTCAGATCTTAGCTTAAACAGAGTCTTTGCAAAGAACCCTTTCCTGACTTTCTAATTGAAAATAAAGCTGCTCTGTTGTATGCATTCCTTAATAATAATAATTACTATTAATAATAATAAAAGAATTCCTTACTTATTTCACTGTAGTCACTAATTACCCTGTGAGGAGCAATTATGTTTGTGCATGCTAAGGCCTTAAGAGATGAAGGGGAGACTTGTAAAAGTCATGCAACATTTATTCTCTCTACAAATGCAATTTTTATCTTGCTTCCTTACTGAGTTAGGTTCTTCATATCAGTACAGTGGGAGACACAGAGCATGAGGCAGCTAAAAGGAAACAATTCTTGAACACCTAGTGGAGAACTAATTTCTTGCCCATTAATATTGAAGAATAGCCACAATTCCCATGTGCAGTAGGTTTTTGGATGGGGTACTTTTGATCACTTCAATTGAGTATTAGTTTGTCTTTAGTTCAGGAAGATTTTCTTCAATAATATTCTAGTTAAGCAGCTTACTGGTCATATAGTTTGTTGATATTTATTCTTAACTCCTCCATTTCGGGTGGTTTGGGGCTCATTACTATTTACTCTGCATGAATTTTCTTTTGCTTCAGACAAATTTAGAGTTAAAAGAGCCAAAAGAGAAAGTGATAAGATAGGTAAATGACCATAGGACCCTGATTTTGAGAAAAGTTTACTATATACCATTATATAGGAACTCCCTTCCTAGCCTTGAGATGATCTATCTATCTATCTATCTATCTATCTATCTATCTATCTATCTATCTATCTACCATCTATCTATCTATCTATCTATCATCTATCATCTTTCTATCTATCTATCATCTATCTACCTACTTATCTATATCTATCTATCTATCTATCTATCTATCTATCTATCATCTGTCATCTATCTATCATCTCTATCATTTATCTATCATCTATCATATATCTATCATCTATCTATCTATCTACCTATCTATCTATCATCTATCTATCATCTATTATATATATATATATATGAAGAAGATCATTATATGTGTGTGTTTGTAAAATGTAAAAACACACACACTTTATCACTTTAAGTCACATGAAAGCTTCAAAGACAAGACAACCACAGACCTTTGTGCACACATATGTATATAATCTTAGGAAAAAACAGTGATGGCATCAGTTTCATGTAATTAACACAATATATATATTATTTTTTATATTTAAATGTTTTATTTTTGAGAATTTCATACTTAAGTATCAAATTTATAGCATTTCTGTCCTTGCTCCTTCCCCTCAAACTCCTCCTGTTTCCTTCCCCACGTCTCAAATTCACGAGCTCTTCTCTATTATTGTTGCATATACACACACGCATGCACACACAGACACACACACATGTGTGTGTGTGTGTGTGTGTGTGTGTGTGTATTTAAGCCTAGCTGGCCTGGAATTCCCTATATAGATCAAGCTGGCATCAAACCCGGAGATTCACCTGCCTCTGCCTCCTATGTCTTGGAATCACTTGCAACCTACTGAGTCCGATTTTTGTTGCTTATGTGTACGTGAATTTAGGATTGACTCCTTAGAGTGGACCTATCAAGAAACTTGCCCCTAGAGAAAACTGATCCCCTATCTCTCAATAAGATCTTGTAGAATTTCCACAATCCATGTTGACATGTTGACTGTTGGCTCTTGCAATCTTTCCAACACCTCTTCTGTGATGTTCTCAGAGTCAAGGTGTAAAGCTTGCATTGTTGAACTGTAGAGTTGTCAATTTGGGTTAGACAAAATATGGTGACTTCTTCTCTCCTCTTTAGTCCAGTTGCAGATCTCTGCAACTATTTGTCTTCATCTTCAAAAAGAAGTTTGTTTGATGAGAAGAGCTACACTATGTGTGGATATAAGATTGTTATTTATTTTACAGTTAGAAATTATGGGAGAAAATGAATAAATGATCCAAGCCTAGCTTTAAAGCCTTGTAACCATATCAACGACTGTCACAACAAGCTATAGTGGTTCAATAGTGGCACTTTTACCTTGGGGGTAATCAGTATCTTTCCAATTGGATTTGAACCCTCTCAGTGTGAGGGAACTCATATGTGGACCTGTAAATATAGCCAAATACACCTGGGTAGAGCCTAGAGAAAACCTTATCTCTTTCATGTCCCTAGACAAATGTAATTTCTTACTGTATGGTAAATACAGGTCCTTATATTTACTGGGAAACATACCTTTTTTCATTCTTCAGAGAAGCTACTATTCGCAACAGATGGAGATTATCACAGAGTTTCACAACTGGTCATATGCAGAGAATAAGTGTCTGAGATATTGTCAGCCCCAAGTGACACATCTACAGTGGAACCTCTACACCTAAGGCTCATGGAAGATAGCAGAACACAGAGCAGATAGAACACTAATGCCTTCCTCAACTCTCATCAGTGAAGCAACCTCATGCAACTGA